GAGAACGAGGAGCCTGGCATATGGACATTTCGCGCTCCGCATCTGTGTCACCGGTCGCCTTTTCTGTGGATGCCTGCGTGTGTGTGTGTGTGTGTGTGTGTGTGTGTGTTTGGGGCCGGGCGCTGGGACAAACGTGCATCTGTTAAATTTGACAATAAAGTCCTAAAGCGAAGCTGCCAAGATTGGGGCGGCGGGTGAGAGAGGAAAGCAGGGGAGGGGTTGGGGAATGAGTAGGAGTCTCAAAAGGCGACGCCAAAGCGCCTGGCCCAGGTATTATGTCGGGAGAAAGGTGAGGAGAGCAGCTGCTCCTTCTCGCGGGGTGGGTATGAGAGCGAGGGTGCATGTGTCCCTGTGAAGAGTACACACCGATCTGCTCAACATATGTCGCCACAAATCACAGTATCTCTCCCTCCTCCTTCTCCCCACTCCCTCCTGACGGAGGCCGGAGCCCAAAGAAGCGCTGAGAAGAGGCGCCGCGTCAACAGGTGTCTTGGTGCGCAATGCACCTTTTCACGCATTCACAGGCTGTGAGCGCCTGGATAATGTGGACACTTTGTTTCCAGGCACTGCGCAAGAGCTTGGGGCGCCTGGGGGGAGGGGGGGTAGAGGGCCCAGGGCAGCGAGGGAAATGTGGAAATAAAGACCTCTGGCGCTCCTGAGGTCCCAGGCCCTCCCCTTCCTTTGTTTGGGGACTCCCGGAGCCGAAGCTCCCTTTGCGTCCTGGGGGGTGGCATATGGCGTCCTCTTACTTACCTAAGAAAAAGAACCCGTCACCCATTCAAGAGTGCAGGAGGGCCCTGAGGGAATGGTTTCTCTCCAAAAGCAGTGAGGAACCCTCCTTATCTCTCCCCACCCCACCTCTGCCACCCCTTCAGTTGGCGCAGCAGCGGCAGCAGCCGTTGGGTGGGGAGCTGCGCCAGGCAGCACCAACCTGCGGAAGCGCCCCAGCTCCCGGCAGATGAAATATGGGGCTGGTGAGCCCCTGGAGACCATATGCTTTCAATAAAAGAAGACAAATAGGGCCGAGATAGGCCTTGCAGTCAACCTGTTATAAATGGGTGGTAATTGGGCCAATGTACACGGGGGCAGGGCCCCCGGGGGGAGGCCTGCTCGGTGCCAAATCCATGTGTCAGCTTCTGGGACAGGTGTGCCCAGGGGCCAGGGGCCGGGTCTCCCCCCCTCTGGGTTTATCACGGCAAAGGTAATATTGTGCTAACTATGAGTAAACAGTCATTGTGAAAATGAGGGAGAGTTTATCAGAGGCGAACTAGTTGGGGGGTGGCTTAACAATAAAGTTGCCCGCCTTGGGAGCAGGTGACGGCTGGCTGCGGGACTCCCGCGGTAGATGTTTTCCAAAGCACTCCACTTTACAATCTCTTGTAATTATTTATTAAACGAAATCTATTTATTATTATTTTAGCAAACACTGGAGACAGGTGGGGCTTTCTTCTCGTCGTCTCCTTTTGTTTGAAGGGCTGTTTGAAGTGGCCAGTCTAGGCCGGGAAGCCCGCTCGCCAGATTTTTGTCTTCCCCTCTTTCAGTGCCCAGGCGAAGGCGAGAGAAAGAAGGCCCCTCCTCGGGCCAGCCACTAGCTATTCAGCTTCTTATGACCCCCCCTCCCTCCGACTTCTTTCTCAAAGAGCCCCCAGGCATCGCTAAGACTCCCCCAGCAGACAGGAAGGGGCAGGGCAGACCGCAGCCTTCCTTCATTTCCATCTACACGCGCTCACCAGGCGTCGGGCTGTCTTCTCTCTCCTCGATCCCCCTCATTCTCCAGGCAAACCTGGGTCTCTGGGAGTCTACGGATCCCGGGCTCCCGAAGACCTTACAGGTGGTGGCTGGCCTGGGGCTTCAGGAACAGGCTCGGTTTCCGCGCTGGAAGAGCCTTTTCCCAAACAGAGTCAGCGCGCACTGAGTTATCACTGTCTGCGCCTCCGCCGCCACCGACACAGGAATTAATTTTGGAGAGGGATCTATGCGCTTCCTCCAGCGGAAAGGGAGGACATATATCTTCCATATCTAATCCTCCAGGACTCCTCGAACTCTAGGCCCTGCCATCCTAGTCAGAAGAAGGCAAGTGGAGGACCCTTGAGTGCCCAAAGGAGACCCGCTGCCTCCGCGGCTGCGCCCTCCTCGCTCTGACCACATTTTGCGCAAAGTAGGAGCGGTACCCGCTTGAAAGTCCGAGAGGGCCCTGGGCCAGAGGAACTGTGAAGAAGTTGAAAAAGAATCCAAGCGTCACAGAATTCTCTCCCAGTCAAGAATTTTCCCCTAGAATTCCCAAAACATTTCCCAGTGTAGGAAGCCCTTCCTGTCACCCTACTCAGAACCCACTAGCCTCTTGAAGCAATTCCATGTCAAGGGTCTAGCCCTCACTTTGTTATCTGAGGATGACTATCATGAGAATTTTGGCTATGGTCTGGTCTTCAGTACTCTAGGGAATCATGGGGTGATTTGAGCCCTGTGGTGCACGCACCATCAATCCAGATTGGATGCTGCAGCCCCAGGGACTTACGCTTTGACTTTCCTCTGTCAGCTCTGACTTTGCAAAGATAGAAAATGAAGCAAGCCTGGGGATGGGGCAGAAGAGCAGACCTATGTAACCGAGGTAGGCACTGGTTCCCCTTGGTTTGGGACTTGGGGCCACTGCCCCTTTCCTACTCTGACTCTGTTATTCCTCACAGACCCAGGACTTTTGGTTTCTGCATTTTGGTTTACCTGGTTTCGCTTTGAAAAAAGTATATTTCTACAATCAAGGAGTGGAAGCAGATGCACAGGAAAATCTAGCACTAGGAATTTTGGGATCTGAGTTCTATGTATGCTGAACTTGCAGGGTGAACTTGGACAAGTCACTTCCCCTTCCCAGGCCTTGATTTTTCCCTCAGTAAAAGGGGTCTCAGTTTGTCATTCTTAAGGTTAGAAGACAAGTTTGAAGGAAGTCATGGCCTAAGAAAAGAGCAGCTGCAAAATTTGGAACTCAGAAGTCTATGTGAGGTCTCCATGTGAGTCTGGACCTGACCCCACCCCGCTCCCCAGCTTCAATTCTTGGCAACAAGGAAAAGTGCCTCAGCTAACAGCACACCAGCTGAGGCAAGAGGTCAGTGCCCCCACTCTTACACAGGGGGATCCCTCTCCCTGGATCCCAAGCATATCCACCCACCCTCTCCTTGCCTTGGAGCATGTCAAGAGGCATTCCCTAGGGCACATACACAGATTAACGGTTCCCCTCACACTATCCCCTCAGTTCCCCAAATGGGTCTTGTCCTTGCTCTGTCCGTTTCAAGGAAGCTCGGGTATCTGACCTGCCAGAAAATGAAGCCATCTTAACCTGTGCCCTACCTTTTCATCCTCAGGCTTCTCTGCCTTGTGACAGGTTTCAATCACAAGAGAGGAACAGGGAAGTTGAGACCCTTCTCTGGGAGTGAACACAAGCAGAAGACCACAGGGGGCCTGGGGAAGGAGCTAGAAGGAAGGGCAGAGGAAAGAGGGGTGACGTGTTCAGACTCATTTTGGAGTGATTTCCAGATGTCTTAGCAGAGGCAAACTGATCTTGGAGAGTCCCTGCCCTGTACTCTCAGGGTGAGGCAACTTAATAGAGAGGCAGGGGGCTGGACAAAGTAACCCCTGGCCAAGCATGATTGGACAGAACTAAGGGGAGAATGAGCTCATTTGCCTTGTGTCTTACAGCACCACCACTTCAGCGGTATTAGACACAAGGGCTGTCTGTGAACTGCTGGCCTCTCCAAACCCCCTGAGCACCTGAGCTTTTGCCCTGCAGGTCCTGGTTCAAACACCCCCCTACTGTCCATGATAGGAAGAGGGTATTACCCCCTAAGGGACAGAGGGTGTGTCCCACACAAGCACCCTATAACTCTTGAGCTCAGATCAAAATGTCTTAGGTTGGGGTAAAAAAGGGGGAGGGGGTCTATGTGTCTCTGTCCAAAGAGTGTGTGTATCTGGTAGACTAGGGTACCTCAACCCAGATAAATGTCTCTAAGTGTGAGGTTCATAGGCAGGATTTCTGGGTAGTCACCTGGTGGCCCTCTCTGGTGTGGAGAGGGTTAGAGAAACATCACCCCCTATGAGTGCTCCCTAACCTGACACAGAATAATGAGCAAGGTGCTATCAGGACACCTGCTCCTTGTTCCATCTCTTGCCCTGTGATTTAAGACAGGCCACCTCCCTCTCTGAGTCTAAACTTAACAGTGTGTGATACACAGAGCCTGACCAACCCTTCCGATTTCTCAGAGTCGCCTTCTGGATACCAAGAGAGGGTCTGGACAGCCGCCCAAGATAGAAACCCAGCAAAGCGGTCTGGGGCGGCCAGCCGCGCCCCAGAGGAGGCTCTTCCCCCTGGGCGAGGCTCTTTGAGGAACCGAGAGTTGCTGGGACCGAGCCCGCCGGGAGAAAGCAAATAGAGCAGAGCTCCCCTCCCCCGACCCGGGCCCTTTGTCCGGAATCCAGCTGTGCCCCGCAGGGGAGGAGCGGACTCGCGTGGCGCGGCCCCCAGGCCCCCGCGTTGATTGGCCCGCGGTGCTGGTAGCAGCGGGGCAGGCACGCTCCTGGCCCGGGCCGAGAAGATAAAGCGTGCCAAGGGGCACACGACTTAGGGCTCAGGAAATCCGCGAGGATTCCCAGTTAGGCCAAGAGAGAGCAACAGTGACCCAGCACGCCCTTTGGGACTCTCTTCTCCGCTGCTGCGGGAGCTCCCAGGCAGCAGCGCCTGAACTCAGCTGAACTAACTTGCAGACCAAAAGACCAGCTCAGCTCGACTCTGCTCTGGCAGCTCACCCCTCCTCTATCCTTTTGCGCCAGAGAACAAGGTAACACCTGGAGGTTTCTGAGCAGCGGGTGGAGGGGGGAAATGAAGAGGGGAGGGTCCTCTGATCCGGTAGGGGTGGCGCGTTCCCATTTACCCCCTCCTGCTCCAGGAATTGGGAACCGCGCACAGCTGACCAGTCCACGCTTATCCGTAGCTCTTACCTCGCCTTCGCCACAGAATGGCGCCTCATCCCTCGGGTGTGCCTGCTATTGAAGTGACCCACGAGACTGAGCAGTCGTTCCCTGGCGTCTCGGACGATGAAGTAACGTGCGTCGCTTCTGCTCCGCCCAGCCCCACTCTCCTGCCGGGGAACAGCGCCGAGGCGGAAGAGGGCGGCTGCAGAAGCGGCGCGAGGAAACTCCGCGCGCGGCGAGCGGGGCGCAGCCGGCCCAAGAGCGAGTTAGCTCTAAGCAAGCAGCGACGGAGCCGGCGCAAGAAGGCCAATGACCGCGAGCGCAATCGGATGCACAACCTCAATTCGGCCTTGGACGCGCTGCGCGGAGTCCTGCCCACTTTCCCAGACGACGCGAAGCTCACCAAGATCGAGACCCTGCGCTTCGCCCACAATTACATCTGGGCGCTGACGCAGACGCTGCGCATAGCGGACCACAGTCTCTACGGTCTCGAGCCGCCCGCACCGTCCTGTGAAGAGCTGTGTAGTCCCGACGGCGGCTCTCCCGGGGATTGGGGCTCCCTCTACTCTCCGGGATCCCAGGCGGGCAGCCTGAGTCCCGCCGCCTCCTTAGAGGAACGCCCAGGTCTGCAGGCGCCTGCTTCCCCCACCTGCTTACACCCCAGTGCCCTGGCGTTTTCAGACTTTCTGTGAAGGGGGCTGTCAGCCGCTGGGCAGTGGGTCCTGGGGGAGGGAAGAGGCGGAGGCCAGTGGAAGTGCGCCGGGGAGGCGCGGCTATCAAGCGAGTCTGCCCTTACTGCCTCTGCCTCACCGAGCCCAGGCGCGCGAGGTTTGCAGGCCAGATTCCGTGCTCCGGTCCTCTGCTCTGTGCAGTCTGCACTCCTCTGCCTCTGCCCGTTCAAAAGGGCATTGCAGGCTGTGAGCGTTTACTCTCCCTCCCTACATCCAACCCAAAATCTCCAGCAAAGAAGACAAGACTAGTAGCCCTTCACAGTCAGAGAGGTCTGCAGTCTCACTCACGGCTGTCTGTGGGCCTGTCAGTCGCTTATCACTCTTCCCTGGATGTGATTTAATCTAATGTTTGGGTTGCTCCCCTCGCGCTGTGTCTCTTCTCTAAAGACGCCTGGGAGCCTCAGTCCCTATCAAGCGCAGGGGTTGGGGCTATCTTAACCCATGGAGGCGACCCTCTGCCTTCTCGTGCACTTTTTTGGAGCCACCTGTCCTCCGGGAGAGCGAGAGAACAGGCAGTGAACTTGGAAAGCACCAGCCTCACTCAGGGGGCATCTCTACTGTCTCCCAGGGTCCTGGAGCACCCATGTCTTTTTTTTTTTTCAATCAGCTTGTAAATTATATAATATGTCCTGAGATTAATTTTTGTTATGGTAAATTATATGGTCCCTTCCCTTGTCTTACAAGTTTGTATTTATTGATGAGACTTTACAGTGGGAAAAGTATATTTTTTTGTATATAAGAGTATTTAGGTACTAGTGAATGAGATTTTTTTTTCTAGTCAATAAAAAGATTCCTCAAGATGAGCCTGAGCAAGGTAATTAGATTGTGTGGGGGGAAGGGTCACAGCTTCTGTGGCTGAGGGAGGGGGTGCCTCTGTCCACAGAGAGGGATGAAACTCTTATTGGGGGTCTTCCCCTAGCCAGAGCTAAGATGATGTGCTACTTAGCTTAAGGAGGTGCAGACTGCCCATCAGAGGGCAAGTTTGCCTTGCAACTTGGAAAGGAAGAGCTGCGAGGCTCTTAAGAAGTCATTGGTCTAGACCTTTTGTCTTATGTATGGGACAGTGACTTGTCTTATTCAATGGCTTAGAAGAAAGCACAGACTCCAATCAGGGCTGCTCTCTGGGGCTGCTGCTGGTCCCTTTCCTTAAACACCTGCCTGAGTTTAGAGCAAGGGCCGTTTGGGGGAATAGAAGGGAGTAATAATTCACCCTGCTGCAGGGTCTGAGAACTGAGAAACTGCTGCTAGCACTGGGCATCCCAAGAATTTCCTCAAAGTGCTTGGAAGTCTAACTCATCCTCTGAGGGCATTTTACACATCTTCAGTGGCAGTGTCTGGACTCTTGTCGCTGAGTGTCAGGGATCTGAGAAAATGGAGAGTTCAGCTGGAATCTCTGCTGACACCCCAACACCCAGCAGCCTTGATTGAAATTTTATAAAGAAATTGCTCTGTTTTCAGCCATGAGTTCTCTATTACTCCCAAGTTTGAATGGAACTGGTGTGCAATAGAGACTGAAACCTGTCCCAGAGGCAAATCTCTGCACACTTTCCTGGACCCCTGGGACCACCATGTGGTAGGTATGACTTTAAGAATGTGCCACCTGGCAGGTACTCAGGAATAGGAAAATGGAGGGTAGACACCATAAACTTCAGGCTGATCCCCAGAAGTGGCTTTGGATTGGCCAGAGCTGGGGTGGTAGGAAGTAGGGGGGAGTTGGAGAAGCTAGCAACCCCCAGGGGCATTGGTGTGTTCAAGTCTGGAAACTGTGGGTGGGTAGGTTGTTTTCCAGCTCCTTAGAGAGCAAAGCTTCATGGCTTTGCAGAGGCTAGCATGTCTGTGTCTCTTACTCCCTCTCAGCTTCAAACTGAATTTCCCCTCTTTTCTCTAATCTTAGGACCCTAAAGGTAACTCAGAAAAAATATGCCTCATTTATCAGGGGATGGATTTAAAGGCCAGAGAGAGGTTTGGCAAGCAAACGAATGAACAAAGTTTTGTTTCATTTGTTGCTTTAATCTGGGAGAAGGAGATTAATGGGTTATTGATGACCTCTGCAGCAGCCAAGTTTCCACCTGGGGCACCCCTCAGACAGGTGTCAGCAGCTCCTACTTGCACAGCTCAAACTGGTGCCAGTTACTTCCTGGGAATTGGGGGAAGGAGTGTGGATAGACATAAAAAAAAAAAAACAAACACAGGAAAGTTTCTCTCTATCCTCCCAGGACAGTAGAAGTATATAGATAAAATCACTCACTTTTTAAACTCTTGGAGGCAGATGGAGCTGTGTATTGTTGTAAATGGGTACTATATTGAGAGGCTTACCAGGAAATGGGGCATCTGGGCCAAGACTAAAGTTTTTGGAGATGAATTCCGCCTTCACGAAGATCAGTCTCCTCCTGAGAGTTATGGAAGTAGTAGGTGGGGTGTGCCCTTGGCACAAATTACCCTCTGGGGAAGAATCTGTGGAGATCCTTCCAGGTATCCACACTCATATCCAGTCCCTCTAGGACTTTGGAGATTGATCATTAAGGAGTCATTAGTCATCCAAAGCACCAGGATTGCTCATTCATCCTGCAAATTTTCAAAGTAAGGTTAAACTCTACTTTAAACTGGGAGATGATTTTACCGTAGGTAGAGCTAGCTGTCAGCTTTACTGGACAATTGAAGAAGAGAACTAATAAGGTTTAGGTTTTGACTGAATCATTGTAAAGTTTAGGGCTCCCCTGCCCAAGATGAGATCCATCAATCTTGCTGAAACCTCTTCCATGCCTCTTTCCTAAGAGCCCCTCAACAAGAAGGACCCAGAAGCATTTCTTTAAGTGGCACATACAAACAACTCAGCATCACCATGCCCCGCCCCCCAGCACCCTTGACCATTTCTCATTCTGTAGATTTTTAAATCAGTCAGGCTTCTCAAGGTCTGGAATTGAAGTCTGCCCCTACCCACTCTACCCACACTTGTAAGGCTGCGGGGCAGCCAATGCCCCATTTTCCTGAAGCCAAGACAGGGTTCTAAACAGGAGCAGGAAAGATGCTCAAACAACACTTTCTTCTATTCTGCCTTTGTCTGAGCCTTAGTCTGCCTTACAGAAAAACAGCACATGAATCTTGCACTACCCTACTCCAACCCAGCCCAACACACCAGCAGGTAGATTTATGGCCCTGCCCCCAATCCTCCCCACCCCCAAGCCGGCCGCTGTCTGGAAAACAAAGAGTCCCCAGGGCCATTGGAATGCTAATGTCTGGGAGCTTGGCCGCTGGGCTGGCACAAAGGCGGGCGGGACCTGGGGCACACGCAACCCTTTTGCCACAATTTGCCTCTCCTCTCCCCTAAGGCCACTCTGCCCAGCTGTGTGACCTTGGACAAGTCTCTGAGGATCCGTTAATTCACTTGAGGAGTTGGAGGAAGTCCCTAAGACTCTTTTTACTGGATTTGTGGTTGCTTAAGAGAGCACCATACTTCTTGCAGATTATAAAGTTAACAGTGCCCCATCACAGGGAACAGAAAAAAGATTCTTCAGGCCTTGGCACCAGGCACAGTGTGAGGTGTGTGTGTGTGGGGGGGGGAAATTTAGTTAAATTGGGGCCCCCCAAAAAACACTGACTTACATATAATTATATTTTTACATTCACACCATTAATATTTCTTAGAATTAATATCACCATCTTTTAAGTACTTGCAGACAATACTTATGAAAAGGGTGGGGAGGCACTTACTAACCTTACCCACCTACCTCATGCCTCCAAGACCAAGAGCACAGGCACTGAGACTGAGACTGGACACTTCTTACCTCACGTCCCCTCCTACATCCAGTGAGATGGAAAAGGCAGGATGGTTACACCCTTAGAAACAGACACTGAAAGTCTTGAAACTCTTGTCCCAGATGCTCGATCACTTAGCAAGTGACTGGAGCAAATTAGGCTCTCCACTAGCAGTTCAGAGCTCTTTCAAAACTCTTTGCAATGTCACTCCATAGATCTTTGGGCTTTGGCTCCAGCCAAGACTTGGGGGGTCTTGTAAAGCCAAGAGACTCCTTTATGCTCTAGTAAGATTTCAGACTCCAGTGTGTCCCCTCTGTTCCTGGGATCCCAGGGCCGAAGCAGAGTGTGCTCCTGTTTAACTAACCTGGTCGGGTGTCAAGATCCTGAAGGCGGAGGCGTGTCTCTGGCCATGGTGCTGAAATAACAGCTTTGGTTCAGAAAGAGAGACGCGCCTATGAACGTGGTATTCTCAACACAGAAAATTACCTAAACCTCTCTCTGCCTATGCATCCAGGCCATTGTCCCTAGGGATTCCCTGTGGACATGAAAAGACAGAACACTGTTAGGTTTACTTGGTGTTGGAGGAAATATCTGTTGCTATTGACTGTGTGAACCTAACAAGGCTCTATACTCTCCTGGTGATAGACTTCCTTATAAACGATGGAATTTGGATAGATCAACCAAATTTCTAACAGCACCTGAAAAGTCTGATGTGGAACAACATTGTAAATTTAGGCTTCATCAGTCCTAATTGGGAAAAACTGGCCTGAAAGTTGCTCTCAGCAATGGTCTCATTCTTGGTTTACAGTGAAAATTCAGTTATACCAAGACAAAGACAAAAGAAGTCCTCCAACAGATAGCAGAGTGGTTAAGAATAGTTACTTTAGAATCATTCACACAGGGGTTCAAAGCCTGGTATTCTCACTAACTGGTGAGTTCCAAGTAAACCCCTTTGCTTCCCTAAGTTCCATTTTTCTCACCTCTGAAGTTGGGAAATAAATAGTAGCCATTTTAGTGGGCTGGCCAAATATCCTTGATTTTAATGCAAGCTAAGCACCATAAATAATAATCATTACTGTTGTCATATTCATTAATTTCAAATTCTTCTCATTCTCTGGGCTTCTTTTAGAAGAAGGTGATTTGATATGAATTTTGATTTTCTCAGCATCGCTGTAAATGCAAACTGATACAAAAACCATCCCTTC